TGGATAACATAGGAGACATGGTGAAATCGTTCCATTGTTATGTTTAATATTATATTTATACCAATATTATGGTAATCAAATTCATATAACTGTCCACGCTTCCTTCTACCCAAGAAATGCTTCGTTGTTTAAATAGTTTTATTTGACCTCGAAGCATTTCTAAGAATCATCTCAGCGGCAAATACAACGCAGTAGGCCTTTTTAATGTTTGTCTCATAATTCAGATATGCTGAAAACATCAATATTGACAAGACAAATAATTAGGCGTTATCTAACTTAATCATTTTCTAGGATGCTTTCTCGTACTGGCTGTGTTTGTATTAGATTAGGAATTCTCGTGAGATTATTTTTAAACTAGCTTGAAATTCCGCACTTTTTTTTGAGCTATACACCCCTATTCTCTATTCCGTTCGAAACGGATTTCCCATACAATTTTATTTGTATGGGAAATCCGTTTCGATCGGAATACAAAAGGTGATATTCAGAATTAGATTCCTTTGGAATTTTTATCGGTAGCTTGGTAGCTTGGAGCTCTCCACAGAATTCTCTTTGATTGAATGACTGATTGATTATTGCGCATTTTGCACCTCATTAGACAGCTGTGCAAAACATTTTTGCACAGTGAATATTTGCACACCTCACACATACTCTTACCATGCAGTTTAACGAATGACATAAAGAACAAGTCCGGCAATGAGAATTTGTCATCACTTTCATCATGCCGCTGTTCTTATGTAACGACGACTATGACGTCAAAAACGTGGTTACATAAGAACAGTGGCAGAGTGAAAGGGATGTCTAATCCTGTTATATATGACATTGCAGTTTGACAGCTGCCTCGACGGCAACTTTTCGCGTCTTTGTTTTGATTTCTGTGTGTGGGAAAAGTAACCGTAGCCACCATTGAGATTCTATTATTTAAACACCCAACGAACAATTTTAGCTGCAGATTAGCTTATACAGCTGAAAATTGGCTTATACAGCTAATTTTTGCCTGTATAAGCTAGTCTGCAGCTAAAATTGTTTGTTGGGTAGAAACACCGAGGATTTCACCAATTTTTCTTTATTGATACCCGTCGCTGGTAAGTCTCTCGTTTTTAAGCCGTTCTTAATTTCGTCTTTTTATGTTTAGCAAAAAAAAATCTATTTTCGGAATGCAGTCCGAACGAAGTCCAAAACGGCGCCGGGAGAATGCTAGAGAACCTAGCGAAGAATTTGAGCCATCGACTGACGAGCCCAATTCATTCGATGATGTGGAATTCCTGTGTGAGTCGTTTGGGGAGAGGCAATTTCCGGATGAGGAACATACTGCTGAATGTTCGAGTGCCTACTCAAGAAGGATCGATTACGATCTCGCGGAAAGTGGATCAGAACCTGAAGATGGATTTCACGACAGGAACGAAGAGAATGTGCAAACCAACGGCTTCTCGCAAGACAAACTTCCGGATGGGTTTTTACGGCTGTTGGCTATTACTTTCCGTGCGTGATTTCAAATGCCATTCTTCGGGAAAAGAAGTAAGGAAGTGGGGTCTCGCTGGCAATACAGTGAAAGATTTTTTGCATCAGTGCAATATAAACCATGCTGTCATAACACCAACTTATCAATGCAACACATGCCTACTGGTGTTAGTGGGTGGTGTGCAAATTGTATCTGTCAAACTAAAATTTTCGCTAGAATCCAAAAATTTGTGCACCGGTCAATAACATTGAAAATACTTTCAGACGTAGCTGATCATTAGGGGTAGTGCAAGGGGTGGTCGCTCTACACATTTGCGCCGCCTTTTTTCTCAGTGTGTCGCAGCTGTCATCAGACTGAATTTTTTGTTTGTATAATGGTATGTTTGGCAACCCGGTTAATTTGACAGTTCACATATTTTGTTTTGAAGAAACAAAACAACAAGCAGTGGAATCTTAACTCAGATCCTAACTGTCGGACCATCGATTCGTTGCTCCCAAATTATCTCGGAAAAGGACTCGGCCACCAAATTGAAACTTAGAGCAACAACGTTCTCCGGGGAAGGCACTTCCAATTTCCGACAGGATAATAACTTCTACTGGATTGAAGTATGATGGTCCAGATGCACTTCAGATTCTGATGAACGCTTCCGAGAGGGGTTTCTACCGAAAGCCATCGACTCAGTCAAAGATGCATCGCCAGAGTTCTAGTGGGAGTTTCAACCGGAATCAGACTGCCCTGGTGGATGTGGGGTTTAATATTTCCACACGGTCAGACAGTTCAACGATCGGACAGATGGAGAGAAGTATGATGTCTCTGGCGAAAAGCAGTGCCGGCCAGAAAACACCTGTAAAAGCTGGGGCGCTGTCGATGGTAGGGAAGCAAACACGGGTGAAGATTCTACCTCCGAACATGGTCCGAGTGATGATCGAAGGCGAATTCATCGATGTCAGTTACAATGAGGAACGAATCATGGAACTGAATGTCAACGAAGTGGTGAAGCGTTACGGAATCAAACATGGTAAACGTCCACTGATAAAACTACTACGGCCAGATGGTGGCCTTTGTATGGACACCGATGCCCTTACCACTTTCTGTGTGGCTCGGATTCCATAATCAATTCGTACCTCATAGAATTCTTAAAGCTGCGTTCGGATCGAGGATTATTGTAAACATCGCGATGTTGAAATGCTTACCGAACTGCTCTCATCGCACCATGGAAAACACCGGTCACTTTACACTTCGCCGGAACTTCTTCTCCGCCAAGTATATAAAACTTCTATTTCAAGCGCTGAATTACCAGGGTCGTGTCCGAGAGCTAAACCTATCCTTCAACCAACGTCGTCTTTCAAGAGCTCACCTTCAAGCCTAACATCTGACCTGCCAACATCTTACAATTCCACTTAACCTCCTTCGGGTGTGATTTCAGCTCCGTCACGAATCTTCCCGCCACAAATCGATCTACCAACGTCTTCAACGTTTCCTTCACTTCCTCCTTCAGGGTCTCGCTCTCCCCACTAACCAACTCACTAATTACATGCCGAATCGGCATTATGACCAGTAGCATTCCCTTCATGGTCATCTTTTCAATTACCTTCCGGAACGATGCCACCCCCTTCCCAACTTCGATCAAACTGTTCTGAAACACCAAAGCCTTCCGCACTAGATCCTTGAACAGTTCGATCGTCTTGAGTGGAGGTTCTCCGATCTCGAAGTCTTCTAGTAGCGACTCCAGTACCATCCGGAAGAATTCCAGTATAACCCACAGATTGACCTCGCTCATCCCTCCTTGACTTTTGACCAGATTTTACCTAATGTTTTGAAAATATGTGCGCTGGGAGGAATCCATGGCAGAATTGCGCCGAAAATTCACGGCTGAAGCTATGAAACCAAAAATTGGATTGTGTCAACAACAATGATTAACATTTTCACACATGCACAGAGCAGGCGCAGATATAGTACAGTGTTGCCAGTAACTTTTAATAACATGAAAATTTCTAACAATGGGTGCCAATGAAAGTGCCCAGGTGTGCCCATCTGTATTTTTGGTACACTGTGCGGAGTGACCAAACCCTTGGGGTAGTGTCAGGATTGTAGCCGTAACATAATTCAGTTGGTCGTAGAATTCTCCTCACAATTTAATTATTAGATTACTTCAGACTTGCATTCGAATACCCTGAAATTATACCCATAATTCACAGGTAATCGTCTCTTCAAAACTACCTCGGAATTCACCTTTAATTGTCCTCAATTTTATTTTTGAAAGACTTCTCAAAATTACGTGGAACTTCTGGTAAATTTCAATTGAATTTTTCCTCAGAATTCTTTTGGAACTATCCCTAGATTTCATCTGAAATCCTCCTCAAAACTCATTTTGCATTTTGATCAAAATTCTTTAAAATTTCGAAAATTTATCAAATTCAAAAAATCTTGATCCTTGTCCAAAATTTGACCGAAAATTTCTTCGGACTTCAAATCCGGGAACCGTAACCTCGGAAATTTCGCCATGGATCTCAATTTTTTCAAGTTCAAGACTTTTTAAACTATTTCTACATTTCTATGTTCAGTCTGTATTCGAAATTCGGCATTTTTCCCGAACAGGCTTCGGTCAAATCTGAGTTCTCAAACAATGTAAATACCTACGTAAATCATACCCCTAATGTCACAACATGGTTTTTGTTCAAGTACATATCCAACCAATATTTATAACTACATATTCACCCTTATTCCCATTTACGACGTATCGATAGGCCATTCAAATAAAAAAAAAATGTGTACCATTTCCGATGCATCGTAAATTAGGAATAAGGGTAATTAGCTATTTAACAAGTTATGGATTGATTTTTTTCTATTATAATTAATGCAATAAATCACGTAGTGAATCTTTAACTTTCCTCTTATTACTACAATTTAACCCCTACAATTTTCCCAAAATTCCAACGTCCTCACATTGAACAGTCTCCCTCCAAATGGAAAATTTCTCAACAACAAGAAAAACACGAGCCTACTATTCCAGGCATACCGCGTGCTGCAGCGCCTACTAAACATTGACCTCTCGTGGCCTGTGGCATGTGCCTCTGCTTCGTAATTAGTGTATAGATGTGATGGTATTTTGCAACCTCCCAGCCCCCTTTTCTCCGCACCGCGGATGGTCGCACTTTCTAATGATTGTCCACTTGACCACCGTTTTTTTCCAACTCATGCATAAACATGGCTCAGCGGAATAATAAGAAAACCCATAACAACGACGACGATGATGGCACTCTGGGTGTTTGTGTTGTTCCTCGGTGGTAACCCAGACAACGGCCATCTAACCCTTGAAACTTAATGAGGCACCATAGGTCGAAACCTGGTAGGGTTCTTTCGTTTCAACGTTGCTATGCAAATGAACAACCCCTCGTGGGTTGGTCCCGTTTTCTTCCTTTATCGATTATCCAATCTGGAATAGCATTACCAGTTCAGTACCGCGGAAAACTTGACTCTTGGAAAGGTTCTGGATTTTTACACCGCTGAATCATTGCGATTCGAGATTCCAACCAAAGTGGAAGTTCTTTAGAGCATTGTTCAAAGGCTCTAGTGTGGAAAATGCCCATCACAACTCCCCAAGTCCCGGAAGGGCTGCCGGAGCTGATGCGTGGTTTGGCGAAAAGTGTCATCAAGGAAAATCCGGAAAATATCTACGTCCACGCGGCGGAGTATTTCGAGAATTTAATCCACGAAAGGGATGGTGAGCTGGATAGGGGGTACACAAATTTCAGCGCGTACAAAGTGTATACCGACTACAAGGACAAGTGCCGTGTCAAAGGTGGTGGCAATGATGGCGGTAGCCTCAGTGCCGGAAGTGTTGGTGATATTCCTAGTTCTGCCGGAGGAATGGCCTTGCGAAGTGGAACGGCTAGTGCAGGCGATGGAGATGATGACAGCGGAGGCAGTGCTTCGGCTACCCGAGGTCGCCGAAAGAAACGTGTCCGAAGGCAAGGATCCAAAGATTCGAATAAATCAGTGGAGAAACAAGAATCTGCTGTTGGATCGCCAGAAGTGCCTAATGGTGAAGATGAGAAGAAATCGGGTGGAAGTGGAAAAGGTTCTCGACAGGACAGTCTGGATGCAATCAAGGAAGACTCTCCGGACTTGATAGAGCAAGCAATGGTGAAAGTTCAGGCCCATCAAGAGTATCAGACACCGAGAGAATCGAGATCGATCAATAAAACTGTGAGTGTTGATTCGATTGCCGCGGCGAATGCAGTGTCCAGTGTGCTACAAGATGCTGTGGTAGAATCAGACGAAGCTGATAGGGAAACTGGTGAAGCGATTGAAACGCAAGTTGAAGCCGATTTGGCAGTGGAATCGCAACGCCCAACTAACTGTGAAGATGTGGACTCGTATCCGCCCGACGAAGATGAAGATGTACTCAAACCTGGGAATGCTGAGGAGTACGGAAGTACTCCTAGTACGGCTGAAGTTACTGGAGAGGTTGTCGGAGAAGCAGAAGTATTGGTGGAAGATGCTCCACAAGCGACAGAAACGAATCAGTCTGAGGAAAATATGGATGCACCTATAGAATCAAAGGAAACTTCTGACGAAGTAGATTTACCAGTCGACGATTCACTGGAAAAGAAAGAGGAACCAATAACTAATGGATCGATCGAAGCGAAATCCGAGAGTCCGAAGCAAATTTCTATTGACCGTCAGGATTCTGGTGAGGTACAAGCTGAAGGTGTTGATACGGTCGATGCGGATAAACCTACACTCGGAGTTGAAGAAACGGTCCCAGAACTACCTGACGTTCCCAGTGAAGAACCAGGTGCTGAAATGTCGGTGGATTCCGAAAATGCGCAAGCGAAGCCTATTGTCGAAGAACCTACCGAAGAAGAGCCCAGCAAGAATGAAACGAAAGAAGAGATTATCGAGGATGCGAACATAATTGACTCCCCCAAGGAATCGTCAGTAAATAATGCAGAAGAGCCTCCTGCAGGTTCCGATGAGAAAGCAGGCGATGAACCAGCAGAAGAAAATTCATCGACTGAAAAACCACAGACCGAAACATCTACCGATGAACAGGAGGAGCAGCCTCCAGAAGACGTCTCACCCGAAAAAACTGATTCTGTTGATAAAGTTACTGAACAGGACAAGTCGCAAGAATTGTCAGAAGGATCTAAATCGAATGAAAACGAAGGCGAAAAAGACACCGTTTCCCCAAATGATGAGAGTGTCGAGGCTGACGCCAACGTACCATCAAATAGTGAAGATGTTGTTTTGAAGGAAGAATCGGAAGATAAGTCCCCTGGTGATCCAACTGAAAATGCTACTAGTGGATCACTTGAAGAGGAACTAAAACCAAAATCAACCGAAGAACCAGCTACGGAAGAAGTTACACTGGTAGATGAAAACAATCAGGAGCAAGAGAACAAGTCGCCTGAAGGAAGCCAATCAGTAGAAAATCCAGATATTAATGAAGAGCAAGCTTCCGGACAGGTAGAGGAAACCGAACAGGTATCCAGTGGTTCAGTGGATAAACCTCCGGTGAAACCCGAATCCGTGGAAGAACCACCATCATCATCTCCACCGAAAGACGAAAACGCTGGATCTATGGAAGAAAATCCCAAATCTGAGGCAACAGGCGGCGAAGCATCACCAGTAAAATCCGCCTCCACGGAGGATCAGCCTGCAGTGGAAGAAAATCCTGCTGGGTCACCGGAGAAGGTAGGATCGATGGAAGAACCACCATCTGAAGGCAGTGATTCGAAGGAAGCGGTAGGCTCCGTCGAAGGACCAGCAGATGACCCAAACTCAAACGGTTCAGCAAAAGCATCCAAGGAACCATCGCTGGACAAAACGGAGTCTGACTTAAACGTTGAAATTTCTGCAACAGAAGGAAACCCTGGTGGTTCCCCGGAGAAGGTAGGATCGACAGAAGAACCACAATCGGAAGCCAGTGGTCCGATAGGTTCCGTCGAAGAGCCAGCAGATGAACCAAACTCAAGCGGTTCAGCAAAACCATCCAAGGAACCATCGCTGGACAAAACGGAGTCTGAGCTGAACGCAAGTGTAGATCAGTCGAATACAGTATCGAAAGAATCTTCAGCCAAGGAGTCGGAAGGTGATACCTCGGCCGAGGCAGCGAGTGGTCAAGAGCGCGATGGTTCCGTCGATGCCGGTGAGATGTCCCTTAGTAGCCGAATGGGAGATGATGAAGAAGACGCTGAACCGGAACATCCTGCCTCGATGGAGAAGGACGATGAGGCAGTTGCAGAACCGAAGAATAACGGAAATGATCAAGCGGACAATGAAGCGGTTGAACCTTCAGCTCCTCCCTCCGAGGAAACTACTGAGAATGATGTCGATGCCAAGCCAAGCTCTGAAGCAGTGGGTGCTGAAGAAGTTTCTGTAGAAAAAGGTGAGAGCATTGAAAAGAATGCAGAAAAATCGGAAGGAGGTGTAGAACCGATCAACTCAGAAGGTGACACAAAAAATACCACGGAACAGAATTCTGTAGAAGTCGACGAGTCCAAGGAAGAGGTAGTAGAAGAACCATGCATCCAAAAGCAAGTGTCTCCATCTACTTCGATGCTCCCAATCAAACAACCAAGCGTCGAATTGGAAGAGATCAAGAAGGTTGATCTGGCATCGTTCAACAAAGATTCAGCGGAAGCATTGTTTTACTCGTTGAAGAAAACGGAGCTGGAGAACCAGCAGCATCCAAGCGATGCTAAGGCTCAAGACGATCCAGGCAAAAATGACGATGACGACGATGCGGATGTAGTGGTGAAGGATGAACCTCCTCCTCCGGTAAGTCGGCAACCGACCAAGCGTAGCTTTACCGATGATTTTTTAGAGAACAGCCCCATCACTGAAGAAGCAGCCGAGCAAGCTGAAGGTGATGGGGTTGCCAACGAAGATAATGGCAAAGACGATGGGAACGAGGTGTTCAACCCGATGATGGCTGCTAGAGCTCGGAATACACAACTACTGAACCAGTTGCATTCCAGGGATGACATAGCCACGCTTGAAAGTTCTCCACGCAAAACTCTTATTCGCAGGTGCATGACCGAACGCGTGGACCTTGCTAGGCAGGATACGAACTACGTAGATTTGCGGAAATATGACCCGGATTACGTTGAGGAAGAGGATCAGTTCGATGGGTATTACATCGGTAGCATCAAGAACAAAATTTTAGCAAGTTCGGTATCTGTCGCAGATTCAGATTATTATGACCCAGAACAGGTGGAGAACACCATAGATGATAACAACGTACAAACGGCACTGGAAACGATTGCATCGACGGATACGGAGTCTACGCTACCTTCGCAGACAACAATTCAAGCAAACAAAGGATTCCTGAAACGAAGTTCGCAGAATACCTCTTCTAATATACCGTACGCTTCGTTCGGGAACAACGCAATTAATCAATCACTGGATGAGTTTATCGAACGCGAAGAGCTACTGAAGGAAGCTGAAGCACAAGCTGCCTCGACAATTCAACGTTCCTATCGGAGATTTCGAACCAACAAGAGGAAATTTCTAAGGGACTACCACAGCACAATGCAAACATGCACGGAGGATCAATCTACGGAGAGCCTGGAAGATTACCCCAACAGTGTAATCCAGATCAAGCTGGATCACAAGCGACCAAAGGAAAGTGATAATTCATTCGAAGATGCGCGTATGGAGAATCATCGCCGACCAATGTACAGTTTGAACATTGACGAATACGATACGGCAACTCGACGGATGACGTTAACTCGAGGAGTGGCGATGCAACGAAATTCAACGCCGGAAGAAGATTCCGGCAAATCGGACAACGTGTCAGGTGAGAAGAAATCATCTACGAGCGAACCAGCTACGAACTTGGCCCTCGCCGAAGAGAGTCCGATATCGTCGAGTGATCTGTCGGAGGACAAGAAGAGCAGCACCTCCGGGGACGAAAAAGAGAACAAAGACAACAGTTCGTCCAAATCAAGTTAGTAAGAGTTTGCTCCATGCGAATGTAGGCTGGGATTAGGGCAATGTGATTGATGAGTTTGAAATTTACGTTTCAGGTGAAGCAGTGAAGGAACCCTCCGATGGGATGAAGGCTACCTCTACTGCATTGAGCAACAGTGGAAGACAGTATGCCTCACTGGACGTACAGAAACTATTCATCGCCCGTCAGCGCACGATGCCGGTTCAGATCGAAACGTCGGTGATTCGGGCACAACCGAAGCACATGCGGAAGCGAATCAAGAGTGCCGGCATGATTAGAAAGTAGGGGCTGCGCGACGGCTTGCGGTGGGTAGTTCCTACTTAGGGTAATTTTTCTTTCCTTTTCGTATTGGCACGGATTTGGAGATTTTTTCTAAAATGCTTAATATTTATCATGATATGGTAGACTATTATATGAGTAAATTGGAAATAAAATAAATTAGTAACCTATCTGCACACTTTCTTCTTGATCGAGAGTAGAGAATGCCATCATCATCATCATCAGCATGATCACCATCGTAGTAGGCGTTCGAGCAATTAAACAATTTTTTGCATCTGCTGCTGTGGTATTTTTGATTTTTACGTTCGGCAAATGACCACAATGTTTCTCTTTTTTATGTTTATTTTGATTGCCCTGTTGTTTACACAGCTTCGGAAGCTCTGTGGTGATGATATGGATGTGATGTCATTCATTGTGAGCGCAAAAATATTTCTTTACCACCTTTCGTGATCAGAAAAATGATAACTGAGCGCAGTTTTAACAGATCGCTAAATATAAGCAAAGTTTAATGGTCTGTATATATTTTTTTTTTGGCTTGCAGTTGTGTCCAATTTTGTTGTTTTGCTTGGGGGGATTATTGTTCATGCCTTTGGCGATTTTAGTACAACCAGGATAGCATCTGATTCGATGTCCTGCAGCGCTGGTGCGCTGTGAATGGATCTTAAAACAATCAATTGTTTTTTTCTAGAGTTATATTACAGTTAGCAGTGACTCGAATAACTCTATGTCGTGTCGAATAATGATAGAGCAATCCATGGAATCAAGTTGACACTCATTTTCAAAGTTTTCGACCATCAAATTTACTCCCAGATGCGAAACATTCAGTCGCAAAGGTCATTGGCATCGCATCCTAATATAGTTTGTTCGCCTTTAATTTTTTGATTGAATTAATGCAATTTATATTAAATTTCACTTAATTTAACGTTCTGTATTTGTGTATAGATTTCCTTAGTTCCACAGACAAACAGACGTATCTCTTTCTCCTCAATCGTAGTACACGAATTTAATGTTCTATTTAAATATAAAACTCTGTACAGACTGGAGAGTTATAACATGTTATAACGGTTGTCAAATAATTGCAACACAGAAACCACCATCAAGATAGCGCTATAACATGTTATAACTCTGCTGTCTGAACGTACTATTACTGATGCTCTTTACGTCAATGGAAAATCTCATAAACAACTGTCATTTTGTGCGTAAAAAATGGCTGACTGTTCCTTACTCTTTCGCTCCAATGAAAATCCCATATCACACTGCGTGTGAAAAGCAAATGCCTTCAACGGGAAAACGATTTAATATGAAGAGCGAAACAAAAATACCAAGCCAACTTGATCTATTTTAACCGGTGCGTTTCTTTTTCACTACCACTGCTTTCCGGAGAAGTGAGAAGAAGACAATTAAGAATAACAAGGAAAAATTTCAAATCATAACTGTTGTTTTGGTCCTTAATTACGGATCATTTTCGCTTCGATAAAATTTACTTGATCGTTGGAAGCAATACATATGTTTAAACAAATTGTAAGAGGTTGCAGAGCTGCTTTGAACCATGAACGTTGCAATTATTAGATCTGCGTTTTAACCAGGCTTGCTGAAACTCCCAAAACTCACTGGAGGATTTAAAACACTCTTGTCCTGCGAGTTTAGCCAGCTGAGTGAGTGGCGGCAGGAATATGGAAGAAGTAAACAAAAAACTCCTCGAGAGAAAGGAAGAGTGAACTTCAGCGAGAGGATGATTTGACGTGAGGTGCGCTTTTCGAGACTCCGGATGACTTTTTTGTTCGACGCAAGTAGCTCAGAGTTCACCCCGAGTGAGAGTAAGAGCGTGTGATAGAAGACATGAACATTGACGAGTGCACGGATGGATTTAAGTTCACTCACTCGACTAAAAGTGACACAACAACGGGGCCCTGTTTACTAAAAATGAACACATATGTGTTCATTTTTAGTAAACAGGGCCCCGCTGTTGTGTCACTTTTTGTCGAGTGAGTGAACTCAAATTCATCCGTGCACTCGTCAATGAGTGGCAGCAAACCTTACTCTCATTTTATCCGCCTTCGCTCTCAAGCTCTGAAGCTTAGTGAAATGATTTGGCAGTAGGCATTCTACTCCTCAGAAAAATGCTACGCTCGGCTCATTTCAAACTCGCGAGCGAGGCTCCATCAAGCCTGGTTTAAACTACTCGTCTATCAATGCTTAAGATAATGAAAAAGCTAAAGGCAAATAAGAAATGCTCGTAGTACGATAACTCAATGTCTCACATGCCGTCAGAATAGAGCTAACATGTAGACCGGCACATTTTCAGGTCTATGGAAGAAGTAAAAACTCATTTTGGCAAAAAGGATTCTCTGAAATAGAAACGGTTTATCGGCTACTCAAGCTCTCCGAAAAATTAAGTCGAAATCCACTGAAACTTTAGATGGCAGCATGTGAAATCACCACCGAAATCGTGTGGAGCATCCTTCGTTGAAAACGTGAGAAAAAAAAATCCATTGGAACATTCGATGACAGCATCTGAAATCTGCACCAAAATCATGTGGAACCTCCTGAAATCCGCTGAAATTTTGATTGACAGCATCAGAAATCTCTATTGGAACCGCCTTCATCGAAAATGTCAGAAAACTCCGCTGAAATTAACTGGAACTTTTGTTGGCAGCATCCGAAATCTCCGTCGAAATCGAGTGGAACCTCCTGCGTCGACAACGTCAGAAACATCCGCTGGAACTTTCGTTGATGTAACTTCCTTTGTCGAGAATGTCAGAAAAGTTCACTGGAACTTTCGTTGGTATCATCGAAAATCTCCACCGGAATCGACTAGAACCATAGAGGTAAATCTAAGACTAGAAGGTCCCGAAGAAACGTGCTCAACTTTTTGGCTCAGCTCTAGTACTCTCTTCGGTCTCAAGCTAATCGATACACCCCTCGAAACATAGGAAAATCTACGAACCCTTAATTTTATCTGTCAAATTTCCATAGCGAATTTAAAATTGGCTCACTACTTGACTAGCCTATTGGTCCCAAGCAAATCGATTAACGTACCCCATTCTAGTATAAATTCCAGTACTACACTATGTTTGTTTTGATTCGCTATGAAAGTTTGACAGATAAAATGAGGGGTTCGTGGATTTTCCTATGTTTCGAGAGGTGCATCGATTAGCTTGGGATCGAAGATAGTACCAGAGCTGAGCCAAAAAGTTGAGCTCGTTTCTTCGGGACCTTCTGGTCTTAGAGTTACCTCTATAGAAGCAGTGCAGTGTTGTTCTGACAGCAGTTGTTTAATCATTTCTGAAAGTTGTAGCTGGGATAATTTCAGGGACGTGACATCAGCTTCTTACCCGTACATAACTACGACGAAAGGCTAGAACGATTAGAACAAAACAGTTTTCTTTTCCTTATAGAAATTCTCATATGAACTTAAGAGCCAGAGGGCGTAACTGATGAAATTTTGGGAGAATGATTAGAATCCCTGATTAAGAATCGATTGAGCTATGTACATCAAAATCGATATTTTGAACCACGCGATCTATACCCGATCACATGTTTGAACTAGAGAGGGTCTATAGGGTGTCACAGAATGTCTAAGCACGACTTTGGAACACCCCTGCTTGTTGCAGATATCGTTTAAACAGCTGATATTCTTCTTCTTCTTCTTCTTCCCATTTCAAGCTTATTGCATATCTCATATTAGCTTATTGCGTGCTCTCCACTTAGTGTTCTAAGATGCACTTCCACAGTTACTAATTCGATGGCTGTACCATTTTTGCATTGGTATAATTGTGTGGCAGTCCAATCATACTTTTATGCCCAGGGAAGTCGAGAAATTTTCCAACCCGAAAAATTCATAGACCGGACCGGAAATCGAACCCAGCCACCTCCAGCATGGTTTTGCTTTGTAGCTGCGCCTTTACCGACTGAGCTAAGGGAGGCCCTCATCACGCTGAATCATTGTTTACATTTCGACCTACAGTTTCGTGTATCTCAAGTGTCGCTTCTTTACATTTCCGTGACAATGCGAACCATTTCTCCGGAAAAGCACAAATGGTGTACCATCCCCAACATTTCTCTGAGTCAACTAGCGAAATTGGAAGGTGTAAGCATCTGAGCCATTCGAAACGCAATTTGGAAGAATGGTGATGAAGCAAAAATCTGGACGTAAACCGAACCTTGTTGACTAAAATCTGGACCGGAAAATCGTGCACGCTTTCACTCGCAAGAAAAGTGCTTCAGTTCGCGAGGTGGCTAAAAAAGTGGGATCCTCGAAGAGTAACGCCAAGTGGGCCAAGGCAAGAATGGGTCTAATGACGTATAAGAAGCAAAAGAAGCCAAAGCGGAGTGAAAAACAAGCCGCATTCGTCAAATCGAGGGCTCGGAAGCTATACGACCAATTGCTGTGCGGAAAATCGATGGGCGTGATTATGGACGATGAATCGTTAAATTTAATTACAAAACTCCTCCTGTTGATCAGTACTACACCGTTCGTGATGGCCGAAGTGTTGACGGTGCGGATAAGTCGACTTTTACCGAAAAAATCCGTAAAAAGGCTATGGTTTGGCAAGCCATTTGTGAGTGAGGCAAGGGGTATTCAACTCTGCACACCTAAATCGGTACCGAGTGATTGAGCTGTGCTAAGCGCTGTGCCGAACATGTCAATCAAGGGTCAATCAAAGTGTGCCTATCAAGGTGTCAATAATCCATGAGTTTGGCAACCCAGAAAGCTACGACTTGTGTGATTGTGTTTACATTCTCAATTTCTCTGATGAATCATGGCAAGCAATCAGCTTCCCTTCGGGAAGTGGAAGAGGAAGTGAAAGCCATAAAACCTATACAGTGTTCAAGCAAATTGAACCCGTCCACCAGATTCCGGATCGATGAAGTGCTGATTCCTTGCAGATGTACAGAAACGAAGGCGTAGCTTGATCAATGATGGATCAAATTGTTACCTGCTGCATTCTTCCCGATTCTAGGAGCAACATCCTCGAGCCAGTTTTTAATAAAACCTCAACATGTTTGTTCAGTAATGACCAAGGCCTTACAG